CTGTCCACTTACGAGATATACGAAGTGGAAGCCAATAAACCGCCATTCTTTGCACAGTTAACTGATATCAGCTGGTATGATGCCACCCCTGTTATCAACTATTGTACCAATGCTTACGAAAACTTCTTTGAATCCATTGTTAAAGAATTGGGTCAACTACAAGATGGTAAATCGCTCTGGATGGATGTATTGTATGATAATAAGCAAACGTATTGGACGGCTCAGGACGTTGTGAAACATTTGGGCTCTCTTAAGGACAAAACATGGGGTTACATATTGACGATCTTACAAATACCTCATTACAAGACTATGGTGGTTAAATATGGCAGAGAATTGCCCGATCACTACACCAATTGTGTTATTCTTCGCCGGTATCTTCAAAATAGCGACAATTATCGATTAAGTCGTAAGGCATACGTGGGATCACGTACTCGCAGGCGATGGAAATCTGGTGATGAAACAAACTTTGGTTTACTATTCTTATTTCACTGGCAATTATTCTTTATTCAGTTAACCTGGTCAGTTATACCTATGAATTAGGGATATGCCAGTAGTATTTCATTTAGTAAATAAATCACGATAAAGTGCCAAAATTTTTATAAATTAGTTGAGCATGTTAAAAATTAAATGAATATATAGTGAATTAATATTCCATTTGCTTATCACAAAATTTTCATTGAGTAAAAAGAATAAATATTATATTTTGGAAACTTTAAATTATTTTATTTAAAAACAAGTTACCAGATCAGTAATAAATATATTCATATTTAACAATTATACAAAATAATACAAAAATATCACAAATTAACTTATGCATAAACGTGTAAATATATATATGTATAATTAACAACACAATAATTTTATATAAAAATTAAAACCAGAATTTGTAATGTAATAAAACAATTTGTACATCATTATTAATGATTCATTATATGGATAGACATATAACCAAATCAGTCTTTTTGGAAAATAGCATTTACTGTATATTATACTTTTATTAAACTTTTATAATGAATATACACACTCATATTCATTATAAGAGCTTAATAAAAGTTTAATAAAAGTATAATATACAGTAAATGCTATTTTCCAAAAAGACTGATTTGGTTATATGTCTATCCATATACATGTAGATTATTTTGAATGATAAAAATTAACTGTATTTTATTAGGAGCCTAGAAAAATAATCTCGAGAATATATAATCGGTATTTGAATTCTGTATTACAGAATCTGTAACCAAATTTCTATTTTATACCAAAACTTTTATTTAATACTTTGTTAACTCGTAAAATAAGTTTATAATATAAAACAAATTAGTGTTTTGACTTTGAATAACTTTTACAAGTAGTTATTTATAATTTAAAAATTATAAGAATTAGCATTTGTTGTTTATATTTTAAAACTAATTTTCAATTTGACTCAATTTGTTGACTACTTTTCCGGAGGAGATTTACTGAACTCTGTTTTGTAATATTCATTATAGAGACCAATGATATGTTGTATTTCCTCCGATCCTATCAATAATTATAATAATTATTCATTTAATCATATTTTCGGTATTATTTACAATAAAACTCACTCCAAGTTAAGACCATATGAACCATAGATGTAATCATAAGACACACGATATAAATGAGAATCACATAAGTTATTAGGTCTACCATTGGGTGATAATTGTTGTCATGACTAATAGGAGTGGTTTGTGGACTCGTCTTCTCCACCAACGGCTGAGGTGTTGGTGCCGTGGATTTGGTGGTAGGGTTAGTGGGCTCTTCGGTGGTGGCATTCAGAAGTGGACGGGGAGTTGTGGTGTGACCCCCAACCAAGTCAAACAACTGCTTAATCCAATCCCCGATCACATCAAATACACCGTCAACTGGCGTGCAATTGGTTTGAGTCATAAGATTCACACAAATCAATGAAAATATTATTTTTAATCTATTTGTCATTTTGACGGATATATTATAAGTAAATCTGTTTGTAGTATATTTGGGAAAATAAATCTAAATTGAGAAATGTTTTTATATAATTGTTTGTATTTATAAAACTTAATACAGTATAAAATTACTAAATGAATAAATGCATAGAAAATACAAAATTAGCAATTGGTTATATTTGATTTGACAAAACTATTGAATTGTGGACAAAAATAATCGCGTGAAACTGTTGTATCAAACACTCGCTCAACTGTATAGTAATTTTATGCTAACTTTCATAGAATAATGTTTTGTCTTTGAATGGATTACAAGAGTTTGTGTCAAATATCATAAGTTTTTTTGTGAGCCATACGATGGCATACTTGAGACAATTGTCGATATTGTTATACAAGGATTGGTTGATAAGACTCGTGAACCCAATCGCCACGATCTTCGAGCTGTTCCCGGCCCTCGTGTTGGCCCTCATTATCGCCTGGAGCACCACAAACCAGACACTGTCCTACACCTCGATGCCATCCGAGGCCCGTATGCCCTCTATTACACCCCAAACACATCATTCACTTGGGATCTAATGAACACATTGAAGACAATCAGTGGTTGGACTGTCACCGCAATGAGAGACCCGGAAGAGCTCCGGGAGTTTATGAGCAAAACAACTAACAATAGTGGGAATACCCGTCTCGTTAAGACAGTTAATGACATCCCAATTAAGACTGAGAATCAGACGGGTATTGTATTTGAGCCGACGATCGGCAAAGAGACCAAACTTTACCGAAACACAAGTCCTTATCAATGAGGCGTTCCTCACAAAAGTGGCCAAAGATTACGGTGTGAACCACAAGAAGACCAAAGAGATTGAGTTCTGGATGTTTCCCGGATTCAAAGACTCTGACACCCGGCCATTCAATCGCATGTCCAGAGGTGACCTCATATCGGTGTCCATAGTGTTTGGGTATATCGTGTTGTGTCCGCTGATTGTCCGGCGGGTGACGAACGAGAAGTCCATTAAAGTCAAAGAACTGATGCGAATGATGGGAATGTCTGATTGGGTCTTCTGGTCCTCCCATTTCATCAATTATCTCATTGTCATGTCTGTCCACACATTCATATTTACAATGCTCTGGTGTTATGGCTTTCCGGCGATAGGTGTGGGCGATGGTCGGGCACTCTTTCACCTCATAAATGCCATCCTATTCTTCATAATTGTACTCATTTTCTGCATCCAAACGATTCTGTTTTGTATGGCTTTCTCCACACTATTTAACGGACCCGTAGTGTCCGTCATAGTGATGGTCGTCGTATACACCCTCATCTACGGCGTCGGTATGTTTTATTTGCACCCGTTTTTCACCCTCAAAGAGGACGACGCATACACTTTGCGACTCATTTCGTCGGTATATCCGACGTATGGTCTGACGTGGACTATGGCTTTGATCGGACGGTGGGAATGGTTTGGAGTCGGAGTCGGATTTAAAGAGCTCTTCTCGAAGGTCCCGTATATTGGCTTAGGTTTAGGGGAAGTACTGGTCGTACAGATACTGTCGTGCCTTTTGTGGGCGTTTGTGATCTGGTATTTGGACGCCGTTTGGCCCTTTCAGTACGGAGTACCACAACCCGTGTACTTCCCGTATCAGCCCTCCTATTATTGGCCACAAAAGTCCCGTTCAGTAAAAGATGTCGAATCGACGGCCAATTCGGATGCGAATCCAAACAATGAAAGTCAACCGAAAGACAGCAAAGTTATGATATCTTTGAGAAAGATATCAAAAGATTTCGGTGGCGGACGAGGGGTTAAAGACATGTCTTTAGATATCTTCAGTCAACAAATTACTGTTTTGTTGGGACATAACGGCGCCGGAAAGACCACTACAATGAATATGATTACCGGTATATTCCCTCCGACTTCGGGAACAGTTCTCGTTAACGGATACGATGTGATGACAGCCACCCGAGAGGCCAGAAAGAGCATTGGGTTGTGTCCACAGGTTTGTGATAATAAGAAGTTTTCATTTTTATTTATAACTTATTTTTACATTTTTAGGAAAATATTCTCTTCAATGACTTGTCTGTTGAACAACACCTCAGACTTTATGCCGTTTTGAAAGACTGCCCGAAAAACCAGTTAAATGCGGAAATCGATAGAGTATTGTCTGTCATCCGACTGATAGACAAGAAGTTCTGGAGAAGTATTTTACTGTCGGGAGGAATGAAACGAAGACTTAGTTTAGGAATCGCTATAATCGGCGCAACAAAAGTCCTGATACTGGATGAGCCGACCTCTGGATTAGATCCAGAAGCTCGCAGAGGGATATGGGATGTATTGGAAGAGTTCAGACAAAAGAAGACAATACTATTGACCACTCATTACATGGAAGAGGCGGATGTAATGCCTATTGTTGTTTAGAATTGAAATTTATTCATTCATTTCTTAATTTGAATTTCAGGTATTGGGCGACAGAATAGCCATTATGTCTGAAGGTGTCCTCAAATGTTGTGGATCTGCAATGTTTCTGAAGAAGCGATTTGGCGCCGGATATCACCTGAGAATCTTAAAGTCAGACAATTATAAGAAGGAAGCGGTCGATGAGATACTCAAAAGACATTTACCCGACAGTCGTCTTCAGAGCGAAATCAATACTGAAGTCATTTATTCACTCGAATCGGAGGACACATCCAAACAAACCGATAAAAATGTTTTCCCGAAACTGTTTGACGAACTCGAGAGTCGGAAACAGGAGATCGGTATCCAATCGTTTGGCATAACTGTGATCACAATGGAAGACGTCTTCTTGAAAGTGGGTTCCGATGGAGAGGTCGACCACAAGTCGAAGAATACGAAGAATACTGAGACGAAGACAACGAATTACACGAACCTGATTGGATTTAAACTCATTTTGCAATCAGTTTACGGTTTATTAGCGAAACGTTTTCATTCAGGTCGTCGGCATTGGTCTACCGTTTCGTTTCAAATCATAATACCGGCGCTTCTCTTCATTCTCATCCTCTATAGTGACGAGTCTTAAAAACCGAGTCATAAACATGGAGTTAGCGGTGAAACTCGATTTAGAAGAACTTTATGGAAAGACATTTGGATTCTTCAAACAAATGACACCAATTCAGAAGACTTTGGCCTCAAATACTATATTCCAAACGCTAGAAGACATGGTATGTCTGCAGCGCTTCTGAAGACTGAGAGTCCGAACGAATGGCTGATAACTAAGTCTAAGAGTTTCGAGGAATATGTTATGAAGTATACAATGGGAGCGTCTGCTAATGAAGCATCTGGATCCTTTTTACTGCAATTGTGGTATAGCCTTGAGTCCACACACTCTCTGCCGCTTTCCATTAATTTAATGTACGAATCGTTGGTTCAGTATTTTATATCACAAATGAGAAATGACTTCACAATTACCACAACCAATGAGATACCGAAACCCAAGAATGAGTTCACTGAAGAACCTGGATCCAATATCGCCAGTGCTATCGTCACATGTGTTCTTCTAATGCCAATAGCCCTACCATTTCTGGGCGCCTCATATGTCGTGTATCCCATTCAAGAAATGGTTTCAAAGTCAAAGTTACTTCAATTGATGACCGGTTTGTCTTCATTCACGTATTGGCTCTCAAACTATTTGTTTGATTTGTTAAACCATTTGCTGGCGATAGTCCTATTGATGTTAATTATCTATATCTGTGACATAAACTACATATTCTTTTACGATTCAGAGGCTGTATTTGCATTATTCCTCTTACTATTCACGTTTGGTTTGTCTTCCATAGTCATATTGCCAATTGCCTGTCATTTGTATTCAGTTCTCCGACAATGTGTTTCTCATTATTACTCGTATTTTACTTATTGTTTGGTTTCATAATCTCTTCCTATTATTCGGCCAAATATATTCCACACATTTTTGGTTTTAAAGTCATTTCTTCATTTTCCTTTTCATATAATGAGAATATCCTTCAATTTATCTATCGATTGGTTCCCATATTTTCACTGAACTATGGGTTAACTAAACTGTACGGAAGGAGTATCTTGAAAGAACGTTGTGGTAAACAGACACAAGGTTTACCATGTGATGAAATCAGCACTTTATCCATTGATGGTATGGGTGTCGGTCGGGAACTCATATGTTTGGCCGCATCTGCGCTCATATTCTTAATCCTATTGTTTATTATCGAAGGTTAGAATAAAATGTAATTACAATTCAAACTTTTAATACATTTCCTATCCTTTCCATCAGATCTCTGCAGATGTCTTAAACGTCGCGCTTATGACCCGAATCTGACTCTAGTTATGCCTAAAGACGAAACGGTAGACTCGGATGTAATGGCTGAGAGACAACGAGTGGATGAGTTGATGAAGAATAAGGAGTTGAGAGCACAGGAAGGGATAGTTGTGGTGAATCTGAACAAGTCTTTCGGTACGTTCACAGCCGTCAAGAATCTGTCATTTGGTGTCCATAAGAACGAGTCCTTCGGTCTGTTGGGAGTGAACGGCGCCGGAAAGACCACCACTTTCTCGATGCTTACCGGAGAGGAATTGCCGGACGATGGGAACGCCTACATTGAGTCCATCGATTTGATGGCAAACAACAAGTTGTTTGAGAGTCGTATCGGTTATTGTCCACAATTTGATGCCCTTCTCGACCGACTGACCGGCGAAGAGATGCTATACTTATTCGCACGACTGCGAGGAATCCCCTCCGATGTCGTCGCCAATGAAGTCACGGCTGTTATCCACGCAATAGATCTGCAGAACCACTGCAAGCACTTGACCCACAATTACAGCGGAGGTAACAAACGAATGCTATCTCTGGGTCTGTCTATCACCGGTCGACCGGCGCTCGTGTTTCTGAACGAACCGACGGCTGGTGTGGATCCGGTCGCCCGCAGGAAGATGTGGCAGACGTTGGAGAAGTTGAAGAGCAGTAAGAACTCGTCGATTATCCTCACCTCTCACTCGATGGACGAATCGGAAGCCCTGTGCACTCGCATTGCTATTATGGTTAGGGGTTCCTTCAGATGCTTGGGATCCACTCAACAGCTGAAGTCAAAGTTTGGACAGGGATTCACTTTTATCATCAAATTGAAGCTACAATTAGTGGCCAATGAGTACACCAATCGAGTCGATGCTTATGTCAAACAACACATCCCATCGGCTGTGTTAAGGGATTCACACGAATGTCATCTTCATTACCACATAACAGACACATCCACTCAATGGTCACAACTGTTTCATGTGATGCAAAGCGCGCACAAAGAGTTAGATCTCGAGGACTATAATCTGAGTGATACTACTTTGGAGCAGATATTCCTCTCATTTGCTAAACAAAAGTGATTTATTCTCATAGTTATAGTGATCTATATTTTATACCACTTTGTATATCAATTTTATATCTATTTCTATTTTATAGTTTATTTATTTATTGAATTTATTTATACTGAGTTTATAACATTTCGTAATATTTATTTAACACAAGTTATAATTATTATTTAGCATATGCTTTATACATAAATACAAATAAATATTCTTATTACCAAATTGTATTCAAATTCTTGCATTAAATTCACATTGTAGTTAATATTTCAATACAATTTGTAACAAGACATTTATTTTAAACTGATAAATTTTTGAGTAGAGTTCAAAATGTTACTCAAATAAATCAATACATAATTTCAAATGTTTTTCTGATCACTTTGTTAATCAGTATATAATTATAGAGAATAAAGCTAATGTATTCATAAAATGATAGTTTAGTGTATGAAAAGAGATTAAAACAATAGAAACCAATGAAACGGTCGCACAGTTTCTCAACAAATGAATACAATTTAATGGTTTGCCGTAAATTCAGTTTACGTCTAATGAATGATAGATACAAATGCTTCGGTATCTCATGGTTTTCAGTCGATATATTGGCGGCTGAGAATGTAATCAAATACATGAGCACCTGGAGTTCGCTATAGAGAAATGTAAAGAACATTCGTTTCCATATCGTATACTCACGGCTTAGGGACAGTTTGATTAAGATATTGACAGCGGGAGTGCCACAGAGATACAGAATTCCTAACGAATTGCAGAAGAATTTGTTTAATAAAACCGTTAGTGAGTTGAGTCGGGTGTGGGTTTTGATGGCCGTCAGCATAGACTGCGGGTCTGCCAGGAGTTGGGGTATTAACTGTCGAAACGAGTATTTCAGGTATAGTGTTATGCAAAAGAAAATGACAAAATCGGCCGAAAATATAGCGATACAATAGCGGCCCCACACTATGAGTATGATGTCTGATATGATCAGTTTTGTAAGACTGTGATCCATATCTGGGTCTAAATAAGCCTCATATGTGGCCCAACTTAATGAGATTGTGAATACAATAGTACTCGTGTCCAACAGTCTGTCGAGGAATAGCTCAGCCATAA